TATTTTAAAAATAGGCCTAAAGAATTATATAATTCTCATGTTTACACATAAGTCCAGAAATCTAACCATATACAACCTTGTAGCAGGACAGTCCCACAACATTCCTTTTCCTGTCTCCTCCCTTCATTCACCACCCCCTTCTTTTTGAACAATCATCTACCTGAGAGACAGCACGGCAGCAACTGGCATGTCATGACAAACAGTCCATATTCAGAAGACCAGAATGACAGGCACTCCAAGCATGAACCTACTATTATAAATTGCCATCTTCAGTGCAGATGCTTAGATCACAGGTGTTAGTATATATAGTTAGTCAGGGTGAGAATCATTCCACTTAACTGCTAGATTCAAAAATCTTCTGAAGATTCTCAGGATCATTGCCTTACCCATCTTCTATACATTACTGTATGGCTTGCCACTGTCATGTTTCCTAGCTCTTCTCTTTGCTCTCTTTTCATTATCTAGTTCTCAAGTTCTTGCTTTCTTTTTAGTTGTATTATACCTTTCTATTTGTATTCCTTCTTTTCAGTTCTTATACTAGGGAAACTACACAATATTTACACATGTGTGTCTGGTTTATTTCACTTATTAGTATATCTTCAAGTGGTATCCACTTCAATATAAAGGCTTTGAGTTTATCATTTTGTATAGCTGAGTAATACTCCATTGTATAAAAATACTGCATCTTTTTCATCCATTCCTCAGGTGATGGGCATCTTGGCTGTTTCCAAGATTTGGTTATCACAAATTGTGCTGCTATAAACATAGGCATACATATGTCACTATGATATGTTTTCAGATCCTCCGGGAAAATTCCCAGTAGAGGAATAGCTGGATTGAATTGGATTTCCAGTCCAAGTTTTCCAAGGCGTCTCCACACTGATTTCCATAATGGTTGCACCAGTCTACATTCCCACCAGCAGTGAAGAAGGGTTCCTTTTTCCCCACATCCTTTCCAACATATGTTGTTCGTTGATTTCTTTATGATAGCCACCCTTTCTGGGGTGAGATGATATCTCAATGTTGTTTTAATTTGCATTTCATAGATGGCTAGTAATGTGGAGCATTTTTTCATATATTTATTCGCTTCTTTAATTTCATCCTCTGAGAAGTGTGTGTTCATCT